GGCAAACTTTACCTTCTCGGCAATCAACTTTATCAGAAGAGCCTGCTAGTCCATCCAATGGAGGAGGTGATTTATTAAAAACATTAGCAAATGCATTAATGAATCGTCAACAAGCTTTGAATGATTATTCTGGTAATAATTTATTGTTATTGCTTAATTTTTTAAAAAAAAAAATCAATTTACAATTTAAATATTTAAATTTAAAAAAAAAAAAATTTTTTTTTGATATTTAGATGAAGAGGATGAAGAAGATGAAGAAGATTGGGAGTGAAATTTTTTTAAATGGTATATGAGTTCAGCTGAAGGGGAAATAAATAAATTTGGACTTTTAATTTAATATCAATATCACTATTGAAATGTATTTACAACTGAGATCAGATCAGATAAAAAACATGTTTTATTTTTTACAATATAAAAATATCAATGAGTTCCGTTTCAATATAGAAAATTGCATTATTTATTTATTTTATTATTAAGATGTACAATTACAATTATCACAATTATTATATAATGAATTCTAGAAAACTATTTTAAAATCATTGGTCTAAAATCTAATTTGAAAATTATAAAAAAATTGTGCATTAGTATTTTTTAATAAATATGTGAAAATATTATATAGTGGTTAATTATATGCAATATTATGCAATATTATGCAATATGTTTATCAAGAAAATTTTTGGTAACATTAAAATGATGCATTTATTATTTCGATTCAACAATCAAGAAATCAAGATATAATGTATGATGATTATTCTCTACTTGATCATGGAGACACTATAGAACTCAGTTTAACGGTTTTTTGACATATTGAGCAAATTGCACGTTCTCAACATTCTCTCGAAAAATTTGTGAATTTATAACATCCGTTTTACTTAGGTGACCAGTTCTGTTGAGAAGATTCTAAAAAGTATCCAGGTCAAAAGTAAGAAAAAAACAATTGATAAAAAGAATTGAAGAAAAAAACCTACTAGAAACCTTTTGCATAAAAACATCGCTTGGGATGATCATTCCCGTATTCCGTACAAATCACCATCGATTTGGATTAAAATATAGAATCTAATTTTCATTCCAGTCACTTGGAAGAAAGGAATAGATACAAGCTTCAACTCATTTTAATTTCTGACGGGAGAGGAATAACTCCACTTACTTCTACACATTTTTTCTGGAAACTGACGTGCTGTACTTTGGCGACCTTGATAATGTCCACAAAACTGGTGACACTTTTTTTATAAACATGGCCCGATGTTCTCACCAATTCCAATCTCATGCCCATTCCCCTACATACTTTTCAATATCAGCTTAAATTCTTTAATTAGATTTTATAACAAACTTTAGGATAAAATTTACCCAGAAAATAAAATCACAGGCTTTTCCAGTTCGCTCATCCCTATCTGCGTCCGAATGACTTTCTCCACTAAAAGCAAAGAATTGTTAATTACCTTGGTAGGAATGAATTAACGGGAACAAATTCTTACTATATAAATTTTATTCCAGGTGCTCTCGAAAATAAGGTTCATATCGACAGTTCTTTCTATATGAGATGTACCACTATATGTATTCACCCAACAGTAACTATAATAACAACATTCATATATTCAATGAAAGAGTGTTAATAGGTATAATTAAAGATTTTTATTAAAAACTTAAAAGGCATTCAAACACTCTCCAATATATTGTGTCTTTGTCATGTATGTCCACCATACCGATTTCAATGTGAAGCAAAGAACAAATACCCTCAATTCCTCGAGCACGCTTTTCTCTACTGAATTTTTCAAGGCCAAAAGTTTTTGTAAACACTACCGAATTTGGCTTTAGAATAACTGTCCCAAATAAATTTTGCATAAGCCAAAACCCCTGCATTTGCATGCGGAAGCATTTCTAAATGTACCCGCAATTCGAAGTAAATCGAAACTATTTTCTGTGCTCGAACTTATTCTGATTAAGCAGACCTTATTTTTTTTTTCAACTCTATATAGAATTTACAATTTTCTCTTGTTCGGAACGAAAATGGCAATTATGATTTTTCTCAGACAACTCCAGAGTCCCAAATTCAGAAAAGGAAAATTTTATTGTCAATATTTCCTTTTCTGAATTTGAGCGGTATGTTCCAGAGAACATTTTCATTTACATTAAATAATAAATAGTTATTGAATGACTGATTAAATAGTAATCAGCTAATCAGTTCAAGTGATGAATGCAGAGACATATCCGGTTGTGATTAAATAAATTAATATAGGATTAAATGAATAAATTCAGAAATAAAGCTCTAATCTTTGATATTTGAGTTTAGTTTAATAGTAGGGTCAGTAATAAATGCGGATCTATCTAAATGTGATAATTCAATATTAAGGATGACAGAAATCGCTTTATTATAAAGCCTACCCTCCTGATAATTAATAGTTAATTCTGGTTGGTTAAAAATTCATCAGTAGGCGGTGATCAACGAAGGATTTTCGCATTTTTTTTACATCTTTTTGATTTCGTTCACAATTGCGAAGCGTAGAGCGATTTTCTACTAAGATATTCCTAAGATAGAAAGGAGGGCCTAGTTCTTGGCTACAAAATGATATGTGCATCATTCCGGTAGCATTGTTATTCACGTTTAAAGCTGACGTCCGTGAAAATTTGACAGAAATTTTTCACGGACGTTCGAATTTAAACGCAGATATTGATGAAAAGCTAGGGCTTTCGATCCGTCATAAAATATTTTAGTTAATAAATCGTGTAAATCGCAGGCGAATTCAAAAAATAGAATTTTTTTGTGTAATCTTTATTTTTGAGTAACATGATGCAAAACTAAATATTCAATTATCACGTGATTTATAGAATAACAAAATCATGTGATCCTCAAATTATTAATTGAAAAGAGAAAACTTAGACCCCAGGGTTAGATCATTTTGTTCAGATCCTTTCTTAATTTAGAAAATATCAAATTTAAATTTTATATTGTATACAAAGTTTTATTTAATAATATTTATGCAAAATAACAACATGTATGTCACATGCATTTAAACTTCTTTACTCTATATTTGTAATTTGTTTATAATACTATTGTTTTAAAACAATGACAACTTTATCAGAAAATTTTAAAAAGCAAAAATCTCTAGAAATTTTTTAGCTCAATTATCTTCCGGAAGTTTTGCAAACTCCTAAAATTTTTCAGAAAAAAAATTTACAATATTTCAGAAATTTTTACAATTTTTCAAAATTTTTTATAATAAAAATTTGTAAATATTTTGAAAATTTTACAAAAAAATTTGCATAGAAAATTGTTATATTTTTAATTTTTTCAAAAAGTTTTGATGAGTTTAAAGGGTACAATATTATGGTACAAAATGTAACATTATAATTATTAATTAAAACTTCAATATATTAATAGTATCAATACATTATAACAGAAGATGAATAATTATTTAACTTATTACTAACATTTAAACATATTAGTTAATTACATAATACCAATTAGTATTACTTAACATTTATTATTATTTATATTTAATATTATTGGTAATAGTTATTATATTAATATTATTAGTATTATATCATTTATGTTATTAACAAATAATATTTTGTGGCACAGTAGTTAAAATAGTATAAATATATCCCTTACTTCAAATAGTTTCAGTAGTTTTACATTATTTAATTTTATATTTTTATAACTTTAATTAATTATAATTCTCAGAGAATGAAATATAATTATTTATTTAAGTGTATATATGTAAATTTTCATTAAATTTATATAGTGAAAGTGAAATAATAAATATTATTATTCAAGTTGATAAATAATAACTTATTGAATATAATAAAGTGAAAATGAAGATATTAAGTAGAAATTATATAATTAATTAAATAATTAATTATATTCGTTCTGTTCTAATAATTATTGAGGAAATTTGATAATAAAGTATTTATTCAATACTAAAAATAATAAATGAAAGTTAGGAAGATATATTATTTAAGGATGTTATGATAAAATTATGAAGATAAATTAATAAAAATGTTCTAATGAAATTATAAAGATAAATTAATAAGGATGTTATAATGAAATTATGAATATATAATATTAAGGAAGTTTGGAAGTTGAGAGATATAATATTGAAATGGAAGTATTATAATTAAAGTGGATAAATATTAATTTGTTAGTTCTATCTAAAAACTAACTGGTGCCTTCTAAAATTCAAGAAATAACCAAACTGGAAGTCTTGTACCTTTGGGAAAGGACTATAAACTCCTTAAAAGAACCATTGAGTAGATGTTAACAATAACATCTATGACAGTTTGATGTCTTCTAGTAGAAAAAAAAAATTTTTAGAAAGGAAGTATTTCAGAAAAAGAAAACTTATAGAGGATGTTTTTGAGAAAAATTTGTTAAAAATATAGAGAGGATATTTTTCTTTAAGAATTTATGAAAGAGAAAATATTTATGGAAACATGAAAAAGGTATAAGGGTAGAAATTGAAGATGTTCTTGTATGAAGAAATAATTATAAAGAGAATAGGAAAAAAATTGAAAAAAGTTAAAATAATAAGGAGAACTATTGTCAAATTTTTGGAAAAATCTATAGTAAACCATGTTAATACAATTAATGAAACTTATTATGTCTTCAGGATTCACTCCATCACCACTGATAAGTTAAAATAATTAAATTGGATTGAAAAAATTTTCATTATTTTTGAAGTCATGAATGTTAAGGACTGATCACCCTCGTATCATTCAAACTCTTTTGTAATTATTTGAATTGTGCACAAATGTTTTTTCAAGTAATGTAATAAGACCCAAGAAGTAATAAATCGTATAAGTCTTGATACTGAATAGTGAGCTTAAGGAAAACAACAAATCATATCCAAGATATCTATAAATGTATAAATTATGGAGTTGGATGTTTCTCTTGTCAAAAGAATAGGGCCATATCAATAAGACCTGAAAAATTAGACAATATCAATAAAACTTGTACTTGTAAGTAATAAAATCAATAAAATTGATAATAAATCCTATATAGATGAAAATTTATTCAATAAAAAAAAAATTAGAAATATAAAATTTAACAAAAGATCAACATTGGAAATATTATATAAAGACTGAGAAAAGACTTTGCTAAAAATCAAAACAAAAATAGTGAAAGTATAAAATAAAAATTTGTAGAATTAAATCTGAATTACTCATATAAACCAAAGAGATACATATCTATTAAACAAACAACAAAACCAAAACCAAGTCTTAAACAATTGATAGAGAAAGTGAATCAAATAAAACATAACTTAAATTTTGTTGAAAGTTTTTAAACAATAATATCATATTCTATTGAAACATCAAGTGAAAGTTTAATTTAAGAATATTATTCAAGGATAAAAAGACTTGAAGAAGAATTTCAGAAACTTGATAAAAAAAGACTGTAATTAATTGAAGAATTAAGAGAAGTCAAAGTGGCAGAAGATCAAGGTAATAACGTTCTGGATAACAACTAGAATTAGAAGAATCAGAAGAAGAAGAACAAGAAATCAACAACAATAATTTGGAAGAAAGAATGGCAAACCAAATATTATTCAAACCAAAAATATTTTATGGGGATGAAAAGGAAGATCCAGTAGAATGGATGAGTGAATTTAAAAAGGCTGCAAGAATTAATAGATGGGAAATAGATGCACAAAAGAGGAATGCCATAGAAATATACTTGAAAGAAGATACTGAAGAATGGTGATTAGAATTAATGGATGTGGAAGGAGGTCATGAACCAACTTGGACAGAAATGGAAGAATCATTTTGAAATACATTTAACAATAGAAGATAGAAGAATAAAGCTTTGAGTGAATTAAATAATTTAAGGATAAGAAGAAATGAATCTATACGAGCTTATGCTGAACAATTCAAAAAAATTTGCAAAAGAATCAATGATTTAATTCCAGAAAGAAAGGCAAAATATTTCTTAAGAGGATTAACTCCAGAATTAGCTTCACTTGCATTGACTCATGAAAAAAAAACAGTGGAAGATATTGTTAATCTAATTGAAAAGTATGAGGAAGGAAGAGACATTACTAATAGAGTTGAACCCAAGATTAAAAAGAGAAAAGAAAAGAGATATGAAACAGAAACTGAATCTGAATCTGAAAGTGAGGAAGAAGTTAAAAGAAAAATTGAAAAAGAAAGAAAAAGAAAAAACTAAACCAGAGAATGATATAGAAGAGTTAACCAAAAAAATGGCCCAATTAAAAATTCAAATGGCAGAAATGAATAATCAAGGAAGGAATAATTACAATAATTATTTAAGAAATAATAATTATTCACCTAATTACAGATACAGAGAATCAAGATGTTTCAATTGTGAAAAATTAGGACATATTAGTAGAGATTGTAGACAACAAGTATAGAGACCAAGACAATGGGATCAAAACATTCCAAACAATTATAATCATAGCAATCACAATAATAATAATCCTAACAATAATAATAGTTTTAGAAATAATAATCAAAGAAATAATAATCAAAATAGATCAAAATTAAAACAACTGACCTATACAAATTATGCTAACACAAAAGATGACAATGATTTAGAAAATGAAGTAACTAAAGAATTAATTGAAATATTAGTTGGAAAACATGGAAGAGATAGTGATAGTGATGAAGATTTCCAAACTAAGAAACTAAGAACTGATAATATAATAAAAACAACTAATACACCTATGGGAATTCAACTAACAGGAACCTTGGGAACATTTGGAATTAAATCAACAAAGAATAATAAAAAGAAAATGAAACCAATTGCATGGAAGAAATCTGAAACAGTTGTTAAGAAAAACAAAAAGGAAGTGCCATTATTATTGAGAGGACCAGAATTTGATATTGTAAAACAATTAGAAAAACAAAAAGTA